AGAAAACTATAGAATTAAAAAGCTAGGTGTGTGCAATAGTCTCAGCTATTAAGGAGGCCAATAAAGGAAGATTGTGTGAGCCCAGGAGTTCAGTATCAGCCTGGGCAACATAGTGCAACCCTGTCTCAAAGCAACAATTAAAACAGATTCATCTTGAGGGAGGGCTGAGGATACAATGAGACTTGAAGAGATAAGCAGGAATCAAACCATGTCTGGCTTTATGAGTTTGTTAAGAAGCATCTTTAGAGCAAAGATTGTATTTCATGGCTTTAAAAGGGAAATAGGATTGAAGGTATAGGTAGAGATATAGGTAGAACACTTGTCTAGGAGTCACAAGACCCCGAGTTTAATCCCCAGCACTACAATAAATAAATAAGCAAATAACACGAACATACTTACATTTATAATAATTCTTCTGGCTTCAATATGAAAAACTTACAGGAAAATGAAAGGATCAGAGGCCAAAAGATCTGTCAGGAAGCTACTATAGGGACTGGGGATATGGCTCAAGTAGAACATGCTGCCTGGCAAGCATGAGACCCTGAGTTCAAACTCTAATACCACACACACACAAACAAATAAAGCTACTGTATTAATCCAGATGGCAGCCTGAACTAGGAGGATGGATATAAAGCAGAAAGATTCAAGCTGTTTTAGAAATAGAACCAACCTGCTTTAGTAATGGACTGGATACATGAAGTGAAAAAAAAATCAAGAATAACTCCTAGATGTTTGGCTTGGTCCTCATGTAGATGATAGTTATCGTTCATGATAGAAACAGGAAGACCCCTGTTTTCCTGCATACATCGGGCTGGGGGAGATAGAAGGATGTCAAGAATAATTAATTCAGACTGGGATATGTTGAGCTAGGAAGACATCAAATCAGTAAACATATGGCTCTGAAGCTCAAAAGTGAGAGAGTCACTCATTCAGCAAAGATTTATTGAGTGCCTCCTCTATACCAAAACTGTGATTATTGTAGGGTTATAACAATGAACAAAACAGAATTGGTCCCAGCCTATATGAACTTAATCTATAAAGCATATAATTAACAACAACAACAAATAAGGAAGTGAAAAAGTTTAGTGGGCTGGGGACATAGCTCAATGGTAGAGCACCTGCCCAGTGTGCATAAAGACCTAGTTCCAGCACCACCAAAAAAAGAAAAAAGATTTCTATAACAGAGAACAACAGGGAGACCTAATTTAGATACAGTGATCAGCTCAGAGAAGACTCATCTGAGATCATATTTAACCTGAGATCTTTACTAGAGATAATAGAAGTTATCCACACATTGATGATAATTGAAGCCATGGGAGTGTATGAGATTATCCATGGAAGTTAAAAGAAGTAGAGTAGGACAGAACTCTGAGAATTGTTACTACTTAAAAGATGGGCAGATAAAGAGGAATCCAAAAAAGAAGCAGCAAAAGCTGGTTATGGTAGCCAAAGAAAGAATATTTCAAGGTGAGTTCAAATGCTATTAAGAGATTTACAATAAGAACAAAACAATTACCCACTTAATTTGATAATGAAGGTGCTGTCAGTGTCCTCAGCAGGAGTCTTTACAGTGAGATAGTCAGTGCCAGACTGAAGAAGGTTGTGGAGAGATTTGGAAGGTGAAGAAGTAGACTGAATGTAGACAAACACCTATCAGTGCAGTGTTCTTTCTCAAATCTCTACTCAATGTATTCTTGTGAGAGTCACCTACAATCCTCACATTGCCAAATCTAGTCGACTTTACCTTATACTCATATTACTTCACGTCTCAGCAGTATTTGACCCATCTAGTAATTTCTTCCTTTTCAAAGCATTTTTCTTCCTTGACTTCTGGGACACCATGTTCTTTACCTCTGATTGAAGCTCCTTGCTAACTTCTTTTCCTCTACCTGCTTGCTAATTATTGAAGGGACTCTTCAATATGGGAGAAGATGATCTCATGTTCTCCCAAGGCTTTATTTATTCATTTGTTATTTTTTGGTACTGGGGAATGAACCCACGTCCTTGCATGTGATAAGCTACCACTGAGCTGCATGGCAAGACTCCCCAGCTAAGGTAAGGACTATCTGTACTCTGGCAAGTTCTGCACTTTTATCTCAGTTTCATTCCATGCTCTAAGCTCCAAAATGATAAATTTATCTCCCTTCCTAACTTCTATCTCTGTTATTTTCTAACAAGCATCTAAAACCTAACAGGTCCAAAATTATATTTTCCCTCAAAACAATCTTCTCAGTTTGGTAAATGGTAAAATTATCCCACTCATCTGCTTAAGGTTAAAAATCAAACAAAAAAACAGGCATTTTTCCTTGATTCCTCTTTTTCTCACTACCCACATCCAAATCAAAAGCAAGTTTTACTGGTTTTTCTTGGAAAACACAGCTCAAAATTAACACCCTCTCCCATTTTTTTGTGGTGCTAGGGATCAAACCCAGGGCTTTGTGTAAGCTAGACAAGCGCTCTACCACTGAACTATACCCCCACCTTTTTTTCCATTTCTATCACTACCACTTTAACCCAAACAGTATTGCTTAGATTTTTTCCACAGCCTGGTAACTGATCTCCTTGCTTCTTCCCTTATCTCTCTATGGCCCATTCTCTACTCAGCAGCAAGATTCTCTTTTAAACTTATACATCAGATAATGCCATTTCCTTGTGAAAGCCCTTCTTTCATGTCTTACTGCACATAGAAGAAAATTTAAATTCCTTGCCACGGCCTATAAGTACTTATTTCTCTGACCTTACCTCAAATAACCTTCCTCTTAACCAACCTTAATATGTGTTCATTCATTTCCAAACATTGCTTATGCACCTAGTTAGACATTGGGTGTTAAAAAGATAATACCTGCCTTTGAAATGTTCACAGTTCAGTGAGTAAAATGGACAGAGCAAAACCCTGTCTATAAAAATCAAGAAAGGCTTTTACTAAAGAAGGAAGAATTACTGGGATGCATTTGAAAGATGGTGAGTTGTGGGTAAAGGTGCAGTCTATGACCAAGAATAGAAAAAAGGTAATGAGTCCATAGTGGGCTCTCCAATTTCTTTGAAAATTATCTAAAGGTAAGTAAAGAATTCCAAACAGGCAGCTTTATCAACCACTGGCACAGAGTACAGAAGAAAAAATGCCCTTGTTAGGTCAATATAGAAATTGGGGATTGTATTTAGAGCGGCAGTTCATTTATTCATTCATTTAAGGACAATGTTTTGGGTATTTGTTACATATTAGGAACTATTCAAATAGAATAATAAAACCAAACAACTCTGTCTTCATGGAGCTTATTTGCAATGTAGGATTTGGACAATAAACAAATATATAATATAAAGTTAGAGATAAGAGCTATAATAAGAAGTAAAGTAGAACAAGGAGCAGACAATGTTGGGACTACTTTAAGATATGAGAATCAGTACAGGTCAGGCTGAGGAAAGAAGTTTTAAGCAGACACCTGCATGAATCAACCTGGGTATTACAGTTATTCAACTTCACAGATTAGGAAAATACATTTTTCAGCCTTTGCTGACTTCACCAAACTGGACCTTCACTAAAGTGATGATTAACTGACCCTTTCTATTTATCGTGATTATTTAACCATGTGTAATTGGTCCCATGATTAGGCAGGTTAAGATTCAAACAACATATAATTTCTCCACTGATGATTAACTAACCCTAGGTTTAGTTATTAACCAAAGGGCTACTCTTTCTCATGTTCATGTGACCTTTTTGACATTTCTCCTTGAGTCTCAGCTGGTTTTTATTTCCTCACAATGTTAAACATAGTATCTCAAATAGGATGGCTCACCCAAGCAATTAAAAACAGGATGCAGCCAAAACTCTAATCCCCTTAGTCTATCTCCAGAGTTAAGACTGGAGGAGGGGAGTAAAACACTGAAGAAACCCACTATCTTCAACCAGAAAATGACTAAGGATCATCTTCATGTTTGGAAAAGGTGTTTTCTGAGAAGAAGAGGAGCTGGGGATGTAGCTTAGTGGTAGACCCTTGCCTGACATGCATGAAACCCTATCTTAGATCCCTAGCACCATGGTGTATGTGTGGACAGGGGTGGGGGTGGGAGGGTGGGGGGGACAGTGAAGCCAAGTACAGTGGAACATGACTATAATCCCAGCACCAGGGAGGCAGTGGCAGGAGGAGTATGAGGCCATCCTGGGCTACACAGCAAATTTAAGGCTAGCCTGAACTACTTATGAGATCTTATCTCAAAAAAAAAAAAAAAAAAAAAACGGTTGGGATTGCAGGTCAGCATTTGCCTATCATGTGCAAGGCCCTGGGTTCAATATCCAGAACCAAAAAAAGCAAAAAGAAAAAAGGAGAAAGAAGAGAAAACAAAAGTGATAAAATCTTAAGAAACATTCCAAGATAGGACTCCCATGAGGCTACAACATAATCTCAGCAAAGGAGAAAGTGGAAAGAAAAACAGTTTTTACAACTTGGGAACTATTTCAAGTGGGAACTCTTTTCTCTACCTTCCTCTATATTCTTATTATTCCTACCCAAGTCAATGGTTTGCCAACATATGAGGCATCAAGGAAAAGACAAATATTTTCTAAAACTCAAGCAGTCAGTTGTGAACTCTTAAGTGAAGAGTTAACTATTACTAGAAAGGTCACTGACAAATGAAAAAGACCTGCTACTCAGGAGGCAGAGATTGAGAGGATTGCAGTTCGAGGCCAGCCCAGTCAAAAAGTTAAGCAAGACCCCCACCTCAGAGAAGTCTAAATAGGAGAAACATGGTTTAGGCTGGCATGGGTAAAACTGCAAGACAATATTGGGAAAATAATTAAAGCAAAAAGACACAGGGATGTGACACAAGTGGTGGAGCACCTGCCTAGCAAACACAGGCCTTGAGTTCAAATCCCACTGTTGCAAAAAGAAAAAACCTAAATCCTCAGCACCACACAAAAAAAGAAAATGATGAACAAGACATTCCTTCACAAATATAGGTCTATAAGAAAAAGGTCAAGAATTAAACTACCAAATCTGTTGTTTGCAGGGTCAGTTCTATATATTCAAAACAATTTTTAAAAGATGCATATATCTGTAGAGAAAGATGATAAAGCTCCCCAGGACATCCACCAGTTGTAGGAACTGCTTACTAGACCTAGAAAACATAAAGCAAGATTTACCCACATTGTGGCTTTTATAGCCTATCACAGATTCTAAGCCAATAAAAAGTTAACTGGCTGAGGTTTGTATCAAGGAAGAAAGCCAAGAGCAGTTTCTGTCCATTGTGTAGAATGGCAGTCTAAAGAGAATCTTTGATAAAGGAATAAAAAGCAATTAGAATGTGCCTGGAAAAATAATATTTTCTTAACTTTTGTTTTTCATACCTGAGAGATGTGACTAAAACACTGCAAAGCTGTGTCTACAGGGCTTTTGAAGAACATCTTCTCCTGAGGTTTCAGCTATGAAGAGAGTAAGATATACAGTGAGAATATTCACAATAGAATGAAATAAAATACTGATACTGGAATGAAACAGAGTAATTTTTCTGCCTTTTTATAATTGTTATCTGTGTTTGTTTGTTTGTTTGTTTTAATTCATCATCTGTACTTTCTATGTACTTCTTATAGGCTAGGAATGGAACCAGATGGTTTATAATAGGGGAAAAGACTTACATTATCAGAAAGAGCCAGATGCTTGCAAGGAGTACCACAAACAGCACATTTTTCTGAGAGAAAAATGGAAAAAACATTTGGTTTTCATGTGCATGAGGTAATGATTTTCCTAAAGTACATGGTAACGGTCAAGTAGGGCAGCAAGAGAAGGAATGGGTTTTCCTGAATTTAGAATATCATTGTGCCATTAAAGGACATTAACCTAAGCTCTGTTCTCTAAATCAGTATTTCTAAGCCAATATGATGAAATATTAAGGCTTTCACACCATACCTCTACTTATCTCCCTGTCTTTAAAAAAATTCTTGATTTTTCATCTGTGAGACAGAGAGATAATTCTAAACACCCAACAGGAATGCTGGTGTACATTCACAAGAGTACTGGGGTGGGGCACTGGTAGCTCATGCTTGTAATCCTAGCTACTTGGGAGGCTGACATTGGGAGGATCAAGGTTTGAGGCCAGCCTGGGCAAATAGTTCTCAAGACCCCCATCTCCAAAATAACCAGAACAAAATGGACTGAAGGTGTGACTCAAGCAGTAGAGGAGCTGCTTTGCAAATGTGAAGCCTGAGTTCAAATCCCAGTCCCACCCCACCCCCTAAAAAAAGTATTAGGAAGAACACAATGGTCTTAGCTTTAAGTTACTCTTGTATTTTGTTTTTTCTTTTTTTTTTATCCTATCTACCTGGCAGCAGGCACACACTGAGTTATAAGAAACTCCTCAGTCACTCCACCCTGTTGTCACATTGCTAATATCTTGCTTTTAAGCTCTCCTGTTCTTATTTCCAATTAATTCAATCTGGAAAAGGCAAAAATTAAATTTCCTATTCTTTCCTTATAAATTGCAATTTTACTTATGACAATGCTAGTTATTTATTGAGAGCCATGTCAGGAAAAAACATCACATGGCTTATGCTTCAGAGACAAATCACTACAAAGTGAACTGCTATTACCCATCTTATTACATTAGCAGATAACTTAAAAGGATCATGAAACTCACATAGAGAAAAAAGCTTCTCCAGATACCACCTAACCTGATTGTTCTTTCCTTAGGGAAGGAAAAGATTTTTTCCCCCTCTAGTTTACCCTCCATATTGTTGCCAGTGTGAGCTAGCAAGTGCAAATTATTATTATTTTTTATGGGACAACACAGCACTTTCAAAGCTGGTGCCCTACCACTTAAACCATACCTCCAGTCCATTTTGGCCTGGTTATTTTGGAGATGGGATCTCTAGAACTATTTGCCCAGCTGGCCTTGAACTGTGATCCTCCTAATCTCAGCTCCCAAGTAGCTAGGATTATAGGCGTGAGCCACTGGTGCCCGGTGATGTCATGTCTTTATACATGTGGTTGCCTTAAACTAGAATGACCTTCCTTGCTTTATCCACTTGGTAACCTATGCAATCCTATTGCATAGAATTAGTACCTCTTCTGCGAAGTCTTCCTTGAGAAAAGCACCCTACTCTAAATCCCTCTTCTACAAAGAATTTTCATACCTTGTAATGTTTTGTTGTTGTTTGAGATAGTCTCACTATGTTGCCCAGGCTGGTCTTGGACTCCTGGACTCAGGTAACCCTTCTGACTGAATCTACCCAGTAGCTAGGACTATAGAAGCCTGCCATTATGTCTGTTCACCTAGACCTTAGAAGTATTCTTGCATTAAAAAAAAAAAAAAAAAAACAGGGCTGGGAGTGCAGCTCAGTGGTAAAGAACTTGCCTAGCATGATGGAGGGCCTAGGTTCAATCTCCAGCACCACACACATACACAATCATAAATTCAACTCTCCTATGACTGAGTAGCTGTAAGAACTTGTTTAGATCACTTATGTTCTCTGAGTCAGTTTTCCTCATTTGTAAAATAGTTCTACTAGTTAGTAACCACCACTGAGGACTGTGGTGAAGATTACTAAAAATTGGCATGGATAGCCAGGTGCAGTGACATATACCTATAATCCAGCATTTGGGAGGCTAATGCAGGAGGAGCTCAAGAGGGCTGGTGGAATGACTCAAGTGTTAGAGTGCCTCCCTAGCAAGTGTGAGGCCCTGCGTTCAAACCCTAGTGCTGCAAAAAGAAAACAAAAAGGGAGGGTCTCAAGATTAAGACTGTCCTATGCTACACAGCAAGCCACCACCTTGAAAACATTTTAGAAAAAATTCTGTTTACTTTGCTTGGGGTATTTTTGGTTCATTTCACGAATTTACTTATTTAATCCACACAATGAACTTGAGTGTGTTGAGAATGGCTGTCCTTTTATCATTATTAATACTATTATTTATTTTTGCTTTTTTTGGTAGCACTGAGGTTTGAACTCAGTGACTTGGAATTGCTAGGCAGGCACTCTAACACTTGAGCCACTCCACAAGCTTTGTTTACCTTAAATAAATAATGTAACAAATGTACTTAAAAATTGGTACATGTGAAATGCTTTTTTAAACTGTAAAGTCACACTATCATAATCATTGACTTCAAAACACTATTGAATAGCCTTTTCTCTCTCTTTTTTTTTTTTTGGTGGTACTGGAGTTTGAACTCAGAGCCTTAAGCTTGCTAGGCAGGCGCTCTACCACTCGAGCCACTATGCCAGCACTGATGAGTACCTTTTGATGCTCAAGTAACATTTGTTAAATCATTTAGCAGCATTTTTTATTAATGGATTCTTTCAATTTTCAAAATCAACAGTTTTTTACAGTATCCACACCACTATAGGCTTACCAAGTGATTTTAATTATAAGACACAGAGAAATGGCTAATCATTATATCTAGATTAAAACAATTTTGCCTGAATCTTGAAAACAAGTAAGTCACTCACCAAGAGTCACACACTTTTTACAGAAAATATGGCCACAATTGGTGACAAAGAAATGGGCCCCATCTTTTCGGAAACACTGGTTGCAGTGAAACCAATCCATTCTGCAGCAGATAAAGAATAAGAATAGAATGATGGAGGAGATACATCTAAGATATATTTTAAGCACATATGTAAATATCACAGTGTATCCTCCTGTACAACTATTATAGACTAATAAAAAATTTTAAAAAGAATAATGTGTAACATAATTATAGCTGTTCCAAAATCTATGCAAAACTGAGTTTATTGTGGTGCAGGCACATTGCTAGGGGCATTCCAGTTGTTATAAGGAAGTACATATCATTAAAAAGTGAGAAAAAGCAGTGAACTATACTATACCACTAATGAGAGACAGAGAGAGAAATATACCTATGCTTAGAAAAGTAGTGGGAAGACAGTAGCAAGACTTTTTTTGAGTGATGAGATTAGTGTAGGTATCTGTTTTGCCTTCTTTGGGGGGAGCTGGGTGGGAGGGTGAGACAAGGCCTTGCTATGTAGCCTGGGCTGGCCTAGAACTCAACATCCTTCTGCTTCCACCTCCCAAGTGCTGGAATTACAAATGTGCACCACCATGCCTGACTTATACTTTTTTGTGTTGCCCAAATTTTCTGGATTAATTAATGTACCAATTTGTAATTTTTAAATGATCTCATTAAAATAAACCATTTTTTTCCAGTGCTGGGAATTGAACCAAGGGCCTCATGAATGTTAGGCAAGCACTATACCACTGAGCCTCACCAACAACCTTCACCCCTTCCTTCCTTTCCTCCTTCCCTCCCTCTTTCCTTCCTTCCATTTTATGGTGCTAGGGTTTGAACACAGGGCCTACACCTTGAGCCACTCCACCAGCCCTTTTTGTGTTAGGTATTTTCAAGATAGGGCCTCAGGAACTATTTGCCCCAGGTGGCTTCGAACCGCAATTCTCCTGATCTCTGCCTCCTGAGTAACTAGGATTACAGGCATAAGCCATTGACACCTAGCTACCTATTTCTTTCTTAATGGTTTCCTGTGATATGGGGAGAGTGGAGCCAAGAGAAAGTAGTGGACCAAATATAGAGTCACAATATTAGTCACTTGAGATAGGGTTGATGAATAATAGTCTCAGCTATACATTTTCCCTTGTAGCCTGCAGAAATTCAGAATCACAGATCTGGAAAGTGCCTTGAAAATCATTTAATGTTTTGTTCAGTCTCAATTTTTTTTCAAAACATGTACATGATTATCACTGAAATTAAATAACTTGTACAAAGTTCCATTTTTAGTTAGTGCTAGTTCTGTGATTAAAGCCCTCATCTCCTGATTCACTGTATAAAGCCCTTGCTCCCACGTTCAATAGCCTGTGTTACACATGGTAACCATACCATACATCCTATATTTTCTGCCTATACCAATTTCACATTATTTATTAAATATAGAACCAAGCAAATGTAACTGTGGGATTTTTAAACAAAGAGACTGATCTACCAAAGATAGAAAGGAGCATGGTAGCTCATGCCTGTAACTCCCAGCTCAGGAGGCAGATATCTGGAGGATGAGGTTTGAGGCCAGAGGGAGCAAAACAGTTAGTGAGACCCCATCTTAACCAATAAGTGGGTGTGGTGGTGCATTTCTGTGGTCCTAGCTATAAGGGAGGCACAGACAGGAGGACTGAGGTCCAACGCTGGTCCTAGGCAAAAACTAGAGACGCTCCCTGAAAAATAAAAAAAGCAAGAGTGTTGGCAGCCAGTAGCTCATGTCTATAATCCCAGCTACCTGGGAGACTCATCAGGGCGCTAGAGGTCCAAGGCTAGCCCCAGCAACTTTCGAGACCCTATCTCGAAAACACCCACCACAAAACAGGGCTGGTGGAGTGGCTCAAGTGGTAGAGCGCCTGTCTAGCAAGAGTGAGATCCTGAGTTCAAATCCCAGAGCCACCCGAAAAAAAGACAAAAAATGTGCATAGTGAATATGCCATGTTAAATTGGACAGAGCGAATCAAAACAGGAAGCAACTGCCCCATTGAAGTCTCTTCCTTCTCGGTTCTCTCCGTGCTGGTTTTTGAAGCGGTTTCGGAGTGAACGATTGCAGGCTGGATGGTACGGCACGTCAGTAATTCTCACTGTACGACCCACTGAGCATGGTGTCCAGAGGTCCCCCTACTTGTCGCCCGCGTCCCCAGCGCCCAGTCGGAAGGGGGTCTAAAGAACCACAGAAAGCCCGGCTTAAAGTCGGCACACCAGGTGACTGGAAGAGAGCCAGTCAACGGGGAAGGCGACCCGGAGCGCAAAGCTACTTTCTAGGGGTCACGGAAGTTCTTTCAGCTACCTTCCCCGTGAGCTTGGCCGCTGGGATCCCAGAACACCTGAGCTCTCACCGACCTGCCCAGCTCTCCTCACGAAGTTGGAAATGGCGGGAAAATAAGGAGCTCCCGGAACTCCACACAAGAGCTTGGGCGTGGCCAGAGGCGGCGTGCGCGTCATGGGCGGGGCCAGAGGCGGCGTGCGCGTCATGGGCGGGGCCAGAGGCGGCGTGCGCGTCATGGGCGGGACCGGGGAGCGTGAGCGGGGCGGGGGGCCGGACAGGGGGCGGGGCAGGGGCGGGGCAGGGGCAGGGGGCGGGGCGTCCAGCGGACGACTCACCCCGATGGTGGCCGCCTTCCCTGCTTACTGAACATTGGGGACCGAAAGTGATTCTGATCTAATCTCGTCCGTGTTACTGTAGAAGGAAAACGTTGGAAGTAACGACCAGAACACGATAGCAAATGGAGTCACAAAGCAGTAGAAAGTTTAACACTGCATTTTAAAACGAAATGAAGAAAATAATGGGTGCCTCGAAAGAACGGCGTCAGTCAACAATAGGAAAACTAAGAAATGAAACGGATAGCGATCGGGTGGATATTAAAATGAGAACTAACAAACCTCTGGGGAAGTTGCGTTTGTTTTTGTTTTGTGGGACTGGGTTTTGTACTTAGGGCTTGGCGCTTGCAAAGCAGAACATCAGCTTCTCCCCAGGAACTCATGACAAGTAGTGGTTCTCAAACTTTCGTTCTCACAAGTCCTTTACATTTTAAAAATTACTGAAGATTCCCACAGAGCTATTGATTCCGTGGATCACACTGATCGGTATTTTCTGTGTTAGCAATTACAAGTGAGAAATTCTTAAAATATTTTTTTTTCATTTTTCTTTTATTATTCATATGTGCCTGTTAAAATATTTATTAATTCATTTGAAAGCAACAATAATAAACTCATTACATGTCAACGGACAAGTTTGTGAAGAGTGGCTTTAAACACTTTTTGGTAATCACATACTTCTACCTTAACTCTGTTGCAACATGCTACTTTGATTGAGGTGCATGCAGATCTGTACTCACTCAAATACGTACCTGGAAACAGGAGTAGTATTTTAATAACCTTTTCAGATAGCTGTAAACATTTGTCTTGGCTACTATACACCAAATTCAGAAAGTTCGAATTTGTTAAGTTAGTTGCAAAGTGGGATCTAAACCATATCAATGATTTTTTATACTGTCACATTAAAATCCGTTGGTCTACCTTGCACTTGAAATGGATATACAGCCACCTTGCTCATTAGATAAGTCTTAGAGTACTGAGAAGCTGTCAATTTGACAGTTGTAGGTACAAGTTTTCCAAAATTCTAACTTTCATAAGAAAGTTTGAATGTATCACCGGCAACCAATAGAATATTTGTTTTCCTTGATATGACAAGCTCATTTTGTTTGTTTGTTCATTTACTTACTTTTGTGGGGACTGGAGTTTGAGCTCCAGGCTTTGTTTATTGCAAAGCAGGCACTCTATCTCTTGAGCAACTCCTCCAGTCCATTTTGCTCTGGTTAATTAGGAGATGAGGTCTTGAGAATTATTGGCTTTCCTTGAACCTTGATCCTCCCAAGTTCAGCTTCACGAGTAGCTAGGATTACAGGTGTGAGCCACTGGTGCCCTGCTATTTTGTTTATTTTTGACAAAAATGTTCACCAATAACCCAGGCCTGAAGCCATAGTTGTATGTCAGTTGTTTTCAAGTAAAAATGGTGTTCCATGATAAAAACTAGTTCAAACTATAATTCAAACTATTGCATAAATTGTTTTGCTAAATATAATCTTAATTCTAACTAAATATTCTGGTCTAAAAAAAGAGGAAACAACAAATTTTATGAAATGAGCATTGATAGCAAAACATGCTAAAGATTGTACATTTGCATAAAAGAAAACTACATAACAATCTCATTCATACTGATTCAAAAATCTTAAAGAAGATAGTAGCAAATAGAATGCAATAATACGTTTTAAAAATTGTACATTATGACCAAATGATGTTCATTATAGGAATGAAAGATACTTCGAGGTTAGGAAATCCTTAAGTGTAATTTATTATAGTAATATTTTTAAATGTGTATGTTTGTTTGTTTTGTGACAAACTCACTATGTTGCTAAGCTGGTCTTGAATTCTTGGTCTCAAGCAATCCTCTCACCTCAACCTCCTTAGTAGCTGGAACTACAGGTGCTCACCACTGAGCCTGGTCTATAGTAATATTTCTAATGAGAACATCATATGACCATTTTGACAGTTACCAATAAAGTACTTGTCATAATTCACACCTATTTCCAATTTTAAAATGCAGTAAAGTTGGTATCCATGGTTATTTATTTAGCATGATTAAAATGTAGGAGTGGGGGAATGCTGGGATGTGTGTGTGTGTGTGTGTGCCCCAACAGGCATATGCGTGGGGCTCACTATGTAGCCCAGACTGGCTCAAAAATCCTCCTGCTTCAGTCTCCCCAATACTGGAATTATAGGCCTTTGACACTATACTTGGTCCTAGCTAGTATGTTGTTTGTGACAGTTTGTCACTATGTAGCCCAGGGTAGCCTTGAACTACAATCCTACTCTCTCAGTCTGCCATGTACTGGGATTACAGGCCTGAGTCACCATGCCTGATGTCTAGCCAGCATTTGTTTTTTAATGAGGAAATGCTAGACACATCCTACTAAAGTTAAAATGGAGACAAGAATGCCCTAACACTTAGCATGATATTGGGACATTAAAAGGATAAGAACATCTCT